AGCTTAGTATTAAAAGAATTAGGAATAAATAGTAGCTATAAGTTATATTTAGAGGAGATATAGTAGGAAGTAATATAATAAAGAAAGTACGAGGGATTGATAAAATAAGTAGGGCCTAATTAAAAAATACGCTTATAAGGTTATAAATTTTAATTTATTAATAATTTAATTCTATAACCGATTTAGTAATTAAAATTTAGCGCTAAAAGAATTAAAAATAAATAGTAGTTACAGGTCGTATTTAGGATAAATATAATAAGAGAGGTAATATAGTAAAGAAATAATATAATAAAGTAAATATGAATATTAAATATTGATAAAGTATAGAGGAATAGATAGGGAATAAGGAGAAACCTAATAAAGAAATAGAATAGAATATGAAAATATTTAATAAAAACTTATTAAAGTTATTAAATATAATAATAAGGATATAGGATATTCCTAATTCGTTTATTTATTATTTTAGTACGGATAAAGGATTAAGTTCGGATTAATTTTACTAATTATAATTTTAAATCTAATTCTTACTAGAACATATCGAATAATTTAGCGCGAATAGTAACGGCGTTAGGGTTATAATAATTAATTCGTTTATGGACGTAGGAAAATTCTAAAGGTAGCGTAGTAGCTCTTAATAGGTTATATTTTTAGAAAAAGTCTTAGGTATTGTATAAACTATATTATATATATAATAGGGTAACTGTTAGAGAGGTAGTAGATTAGTAATATATATAATATAAATGTTTTAATATATAATAATATTCGAAATAGTCCTAAGATACAAAAACATTACTGCTTAATATTTTACCCTACTCGATTTGAAGGTGCCGGACCCCTAGAACAATAATGAATTTTTCTCCCTAAAACTGGTTTCCCAGCGACTAGAGTAGTAATTGTAAATAGTAATATTATTACCGTTGGGCACTATTATTCGTTTAAGTTATTAAAATAGGTAATAAACGTATGTATATCGAAATATAAGGCCAAATTAAATATTAAATTTAGTAATGTTCTTAGTAATATCTTTTTTTGCTTTTTTATTTATTTTAAAGCTCGAGGCAATTTTGTAATATAGCGTCTACAAAATGATAAAGGCGGTTCGAATATATATATAGGTAATTATACGATTTAATTGATTAAATTTCTTTAAGTCCGGTCTAGTAATTATATAATTACCGGCCGCGGGTAAATAATATTTATAAATAATCCGTATTATCTTTAACTCTTATAAGCTCTATTAATTATACAATAAATACTCGTATTGCGCGTCGGGCGCTAATAAAGTCTCTATATCGGAAGGGTAAATATAGGGGCTAATAATAACCTTATTTATTAGGCTAGACTACGAAGACCCTAATATTATTTTTTATTACGATAGGTAATAAAATATAAGAATATTTAATAAATATATATTTAATTATTAATAGCGTATTCGCTGTATATAGGCTGCCCCTCTTATATTTTACGTTTAATATATTTAAACGGCCCCTTATAGTAGGGTTAAATAGAATATCAACGGAGGGCGATATATAAATTAATATAAATTATTTTTTTAATTATAATGCTATTCAATTCCTTATCGTTATTTATCCTTAGAGAGGCTAGATCATTATGCTTAATAGCTACAGTATATAATGGGAGATTTACGACGTCCGTATCGTATATTGCGCGTATATAATACGCGTATTATAATTAATCATTATAGGAAATATTGCCCCTCTTCTATAAATTAATTATAGAATCGAACGTTATACTTTTTTAACTTATCAGGTTGTACCGGTACTTAAAATAGGTTAATGGACCGAATTAATCGGTTATTAAAAAATAATTAGTAATAATATATTAGTAGACTTATATTATAAATAAAGGGATATATAAAATAGGTTAAGGGATTTTTGTAATTTACTTCGTTCTAATTAGAATTGGCCTATACTATTTATATAGTCGACTTCGTTTTAATTAGAGTAATAAACTTTATTCTAATTAGAGCGGAAGGAAGGGAGTTAAAAATTTAATTTACAGTCGTAATTACAATATTAATATAGGCTTTAAATAGTTTTGTAATCCAAGAAGCCGGCTATATTAACTTTAATATATTTAAATCTAACGTTCTATTTATAAATTAAAGTCTGCCTAAGTGATTTTTATTTAAGGGCCTTTTTTAATATAAGGTTAGAATATTTTAAAAAGGGCTTTAGGTTATATTAGATTATATTATGTATAGTGTTTACCGGCTAGTTCAGAATTCCCTTAATAATATTATAAATTTTATTGAAGTTGTAATAGCCCGTATAGGGGCGGTAATACTTAATAATTAATATTACGTTACTGAATTTGGGGTAAATATTATTCTATTTATTAATAAATTAGTACTAATTTAAATTAAAATATAGTAAATACTATAGAAGACTGAAATCCGGGCTATTTATAGTAATATACGGAGTAGGATGGGCCTAATTATTAATTATATTATCGTTAAGTATTATAATATTAATTTTACCTTTAAGTTTACCCTTAACCTTAGGCGCCGCTTTAGTACCTTTAAATAGTATATTTATTAATTTAAAAGTTAGACATATATTCTTATTAGAATTATATCTTTAGATATTATTCGTTCTAATCAGAGTAATATCTTTAGGTATCCTTTATTCTAATTGGAATAATATCTTTAAGTATCCTTTATTTTAATCGGAGTTGTGTAATACGTAGGGAAGCTATTAGAAGAAGGAGAGAAGGAAATAGGAAGTAGGCGGGCAAAAACCGTACTAACTAAATTGGGTATTAGCGGGGATTTTAAAATAAATCCCCCGTTGCTAATTATATATAAATATTAAAGTATTTAATACCGAACGTTTAAGTAGGCTTAAATTTGCCTACCGTATAAATTAGATTTTAATTAGAACGAAGTTTAGGGACGATTAGTCTAATAATAATTATAATACGTTTACTTATTAATATTAGTAAATAATAAATTATAATATAATATAATAATTCTAATTAGAGTAAAATATAATTTTAAGAGAAAGTCTATTCGCACCGCCATTAATGTCTTCAGACACCGCCATCCAAAATACTTTCTAAAGTAACTCTATGAAAACGGGGTCTTATGACATATAAATGGGTTCATATTTTTCGTCCCTTTTTACTCTATTAAGGAAGCCTCATACCGTAGTTGTATATAGCCCACAGCACCCGCAACTAGCAGAACGTTGAAAATAAGACAACTTAATTTTCAATATGGATTATTTAATAAAACTTAGCTTTGTGAGGAGTTTTGGGAGGCGGCATTGGTGTGATAATATGAAACAAAATTATACGGATTTTTTGGTACTACTTTTGTCTCCGTAGCCTTAGAGTTGGCTAAGTTATACTTAATGTGATTTTAGATAGCAGTGTCTGGAGACATTGATGGCGGTGCGAAGACATTCTCAATTTTAAATAGGTTATACAATTTATTAGACCTGCTAATTCGGACGTGAGTAATATATAAAGTAACGACCCAATTAGTACGTAGAGAGAAGTCGACTAGCGCGTAGGTACAGGTAGAAAGTATTATATTGAATATTAATATTCGAACTCGTTTATTAATTTTAATTAGAGCGAAAGCTATTTAAACGTCGGAGGTTTATAAATACTAGTAGCGGAGCCGTATGTAAATTTTATACTGTAAGTTACTATAATTTAGTAAATTATTTTTATAAATTAGTTCGGATAGGGTTTAATATAATTATCCTTTAAATTAACTTACCGTCACTTTCGTCCCTAGAATTTCGAACGTTATTAATAATAACCGGATCGTCGTTTTCGTAGTAATTAAAGAGACCGAAATATTCCCGATTTCCTCCCTTCTCTAGCTATACTTCCTTATTATTAAATTACTTAAATATATTCGAAAATAATTTGAATAAATTGTTATATTATAAATCGGGTATATTAAAATTATTAATGTTTAATTATTTATAGCGCCGTATATTAAACTTATTTTTATATATTATATAAGTATAATTAATAATATTAAAATTAGTAGATAGGTTAATATATTTATTATTATTAAGTCGCCCGAATTCTAATTTTATTACTTTATAAATAGTTGCAAACTATAAAGCTCGCGAAACGTTAAAATGCGGGTTCTTAGTCGACGACGATAGCAAAACCAATTTTAATATTAGAATTGTATTTAGAACGTCCGATTACCCCTATCTACGATGTCGCATTAATTACGTATTGAAGACGCGGGTATCGTAGCGGTCGGGAACGATGGCGGCGGTCTAGCGGCGAGCCGATACGTGCCCGGAAATCCCGCGGCCGGAATACTAACGACGATAATGACGGTTAATAATACCGAACCCGAAGCCTCCGTAGCCCCGAAACCTCTTTAGGAAAATATAGAAAAATTCCTTTTAGAAATTATAAATTTCCCTAATATTAATAGCCTGCTTAACGCTTATGTAGTGTAGGTAGAAAGATTTTTTAATATTATTAAGGATATTTTATGTACGTAAGGTTAAATACTTTAATTTTGCGATATTATTATTAAATAATTTAAAAACGATATGAAAGAATTAAAGAAAATAGTCACCGATATTATAAAGAAGTAAGCAACCCCTCCGAAAACTTAAGTTATTATAGTCGCGGATTTTAATATTTAACCGACGGGCCCGAAGAAATCCTACTTTATTTTAATAAATATTCAAACCTTTATCCCCTTTTAAGCCGAATAATATTTAATAATTAAATTAAACGATATATTGCTTTCTATAGAATAAGAGAAGCGTATAACAAATAATATCGTATAAGTAATTAATTAGGAGTATTTAAAAATTAATGTTAAAATCATTACGAAATTATATGTTAATAGAAATTATATTATTATATTCGGAAAGGAAGGGAAGAAATAGTATTTGAAAAATTGAATTTAAGTAATATATATTTTCTATAAGGATATAATAATTATATTCCCTATGATTTTAATAATAGTTCGGGGCGTATTATAGGTTTTTATTGATAATTTTGAATTAGAGAAATTAATTAGGGAAATATCTGAAGCGAATAAAATTAAAATTATTAGAGCGAAAGTATTCCGGAAGAAGTATAGAAGTAAGAAGGGTTTTTTCTTTTTAAAAGTTAGTATTCTAAATAATAGGGTTCGTTTTATTAGGGATTCCCTCTTTTAAATAAGTAATATACTCTATTATAAATCCTTTGAACGTAATATAATCCTTTAATAATATTATAATTATTAAGAATTTAATTATTTATGTAATTATTATCCTAAGGAAAAAATGTATAATACCCCCGCTATATCGAAAAGAAATATTTAAGTAAAATAATAAAGGATATAGAAATTAATTACCTTTTTAATTAATAACCTAATTTTATAAATGATTCTTTTTATAATTAAAAAAGATACTATATATTTTTTTGTAATTATTCGCTTATAAAAGCGGCGTTCGGTCGTTCTTTTATAATATTTATAAAACGTTTATAAGTATTTATTTAATAGGTAAAATTAATTATAATCGATAGAATGCTGGCCCCTAATTAGTTTAAAGCTATTTAACCGGCTAATGAAGTTATATAGTAGTAATCTTTCTAATAAATATAAATTATAATAATATAAAGACCCGAAAGGGATAATCCTCTTATAATATTTATTCGGTTATAATTTATATCCGTTAATAAAAATAGTAATTTAGAAATCCCGGGTATAAACGATTGAAAATTTTAGAGTCCGAATAGTAATAAATAATAGTTAATAAAAAAAGCAGCCCTTATATAAAAGTATAGAAAGAGTTCTACGTTAAATTAAATATAATTAGAGTTAAATATTAAAAGAGAATCTTCAAAATATTAAATATTGTTATTAGGTCGAACTTTTAATTATATTAGAAGAATACTATTTAAATATTGATTATATAAATTCAAGGATTTTATATTAGAATATAATAAAATTATATAATAGAATAAAAATTGTATTAAAAATAGAAGACCAGTATAATATTATAATATTTTCAGAATTAAGCCGAAGTATAGCTGTAAGTAATATTCCTAATATTAAAATTTCTTATTATTAGGTATTAGATAGTACTAATTAAGGACGTGCGGCGTTATATGTAAGTAAATGCTTTATAATCGATTAATAGGATTATAAATAGGGAAAGGATTGGATAATAGTAAGAATTGGAGAAGGGGAAAATGAAGTAAGGGTATAATTAGTTTATTTATTGATTTAAAATTCGGGTTTTGAATACGAATAATATACCCCCTTTAAAGGAATCGTATTAAAAGTAAAAGGAACAAATATTATAATAAGGGATATAAATTTCTATTATTTAATATAGGATATTTATAAAAGGACGAATAGGAGTAATTATATCTTCTTTTTATTAACGACGAATTATTGATTCGTATTAATAATGCTACGAAGTAAACCGATATAATTGAAGAACGAAATATAATAGGAATTTAATAGTATTATCGATTATATTTAAATAATGGAAATATTATATATTATGTATTAGATAGTAAAGGACGAAGTCTTTATTAAATTGGATTATTAAATTTAATCGATTCTAATTTATATTGAAATTATTAAAGAGCTAGAGGATATTATAAAAGGCTATAGCTAAATATTTATAAATATTAAAAAGGTTAAAGAATTTATTAAAAAAATATATTATCATCCTATTGGCAATCATTACGATCGCTGAATTAGAAATTGTAACCGACCAATTAATAGAGGAATTAATTAAAGTTACCGACAAAGCAATCCTGAAATAGAAAAGGGGAAGGGGTAAGCGTATTAATTAGTAAGATTTAAGTGTAAAGGAGGTTATTAAATACGTAAAATAAATAATGAAAGTTTAAAAAAAGAGGAAGATACTAATAAGAAAGCGAAAATTAGAAGAAGCGAAATAGAAATAAATAGAAATTATTTAATTTGCGTAAATAAATAGTAATATACCTTTGTAAAAGATATATTAAAAAATTTGAATCAATTTTAGAGGTTTAAATAGTAAGGTAGAATATAAAGTTATTTACTTTCTAACCCCCTTAAAATTCTAATACTATATTGAAAAAGAAATATAAAGGAAAAACGGGATTATAAAAATAAGGCGGAAATTTTAGCGGAAAGATTCTTCCCGGGGGTAGAAATACTAATAAATCATTTACTAGATTAGAAAAGGAAACGAAGGACCGAATTGTTAATGAATTATAAAATTAGTATAAATGATATAATAAAAAATTACGCTATATAAATTCTAATAAAGTTTTAAGAAGTAATTAATTCTTTAATAAATTATTTAAAGTATATAGGCAACGGCTAGCGGAAATATTAGTTATGATTCCTATTAGGAGCTTTACCTTCGGTTCGTTCCTAATATAATAATATTATATAAAAGTAATAGTATTAAAAAGGTTTAGAAAGACGGCGGTATAAAGGAAAATAGCGGGAGTATAGCGCCCTATTATATTTTTAAATTACGTAGGAAAAATATTAGAAGCGATAATAATAAAACGGTTTGCTTTTATAATAGAAGAATATAAATTTTATTAAAGGGCTAAATAGGGAATAGGAAGGGGAAATCGATAAAATTCGTAATTAAAGTAGTAACAGAAACGGTATATATAATATAAGAATTAGGGGTGGTAACGTTGTTATTATTCTTAAATTTTAAAGGGGCGTTTAATTAGGTTAATTATAGGTAATTCTTCTATATTTTATAAAAAAAGGGAGCTTCTATACTAATTATTCTATTAGGTCGAAAATTCTTTAATGAATTAGAGAAGAAGTTCATTTTTCGATGGGAAATTATTTTGGGAATTTTAAATACTTGTAAGAATATTATAAAATTCCCCCCCTTCGCCTATCTCTTTTCTAATTTTTATCATTATTTTATATAAGGTATTAAAGGAATTGAGGGGGATAGTAATAATACGATTTGTAAATAATATTAATATTTTAGCTTTTTCGAAATTGATAAAAGAAAATTATAATAAATTAAAAGAAATTTAATAAATTTACTATAATTAGGTAAAGGAATATAAAATAGAATTTAAAATTAATAAATCGGAATTTATTCATTTTATTAAAATTTAATAATTATGGACCGAAATTATTAATTTCAAAGGGTGTTAATTAGCCCCTACAGAATTAGTATAATTCCTGAAAACATAGTTAGATTGCAAATTAATTTACTGAATATACTTTTAAGTAATAAAGAAAAAAATATTAATATAAATTTTCGTATTTATATGTATTATAACGAAGATATAGAATTATAATTTCGTCCGAATGAAGGACATATATATAAAGGTATTTCGTATAGTAATAATTTATGGAGCGTTAGCGTACTATATATTAATGGAGTTGCTCAAGGAATTACGCGGTTTCGCGAAAAGTTTTATAACGATTTAAATTAATTATTTTAAAATAGTGTTTAAAGTTTATAAAGTAGTATTTACGTTTAATATTAAAATAGAAACTTTTTAATTACCCTTTGATTTCTATTTTAATAAGAAGGTTAAAGCGTTTAAAGACTGGTTTACCTGCGTACTAGTAGCGGCCTTTATTAAAAGGACGTTAATTTAAATAGTAAGGGAATTATGAAGTGGAAGGAAAGGTAAATAATTATAATTATTTCCGGTTAATAGTTAGGTAAAAATTAAGTAGGTTAAGAAATAGGCTCCGAACGAAGATATTTTAGTATTGTAAGGAGAGGCAAGAGAATTTACGCTGGGTAAGAAAGAAAAATAATTAAAAAATGTAATTTGGAAAGAGTAGGTTGCGAAATAATATATTAAAATAATTGAAGTAATAAGGAAAAGGAGGAAATTAAATATTATAAAGGTATGTATGTAATTTGATAAAATTATATTATAAGATTATATTTAATTTATGATAAACTAGAAATTATTATTATATTATTTTTCGAAAATTATAAACTTATTCCTAATATGAATTAAGACGAGTAAAATAAATTTATAGGTATTTTTATCGAAAGAAGAGTATTAGAAATAATAATATTTTATTACTAGTATAAATTAATTAAGGAGACGTTCGAATATATTATATTACAATATAAGGAAATGGAAAATATATAATTATAGGAAAACTTAATTTGGCCGTAAAATATTGAATAATTTTATAATGAATTTAAAACTGTAGAAGGAACGGAGTAGATTCTTCGTTAGGCTTTACGTTTAGGTCGATTATAGGAATATAAATTAGTAGTAAAAATAAAATAAATAAAAAAAGCGGAGGAATTATTAGGGAATTTAGATTAATTTTTAATTTTAGGGCGCGGGAGTATGTTTATAATACTTTTAAATTAATTACCTAGATATGAAAAACTTTAATAAAAGCGCCGATATAATATTAAAAAAACGTTAATAGATTACTGATTAAAATTAATTCCGATTATCAAAGATTAAATAATAATTATAATTAAAGAGTATTACGAAATTAAAATGAAATTAAGTTGTTAATATGGAGGGAGCGAATATTATTTATTAATTATTTAGGAATGGGGCCGTTATAAGCGTTGTAAGAGTTTAATTCGAGGTTAGGGTCGTTTTTGTAATTATTTTTTAAATTTATAATCGACTTTCATTTTAATATTATTATTTTCGATAATATTATTATTGAAATTAATCCGTTTTGGTAAACTTTTATTCCTAATATACTTGCTTCTAGTAGTTAGGGTAAAATTGAAAGTATAGTTATTAAATAACAATTTAAAGATTTTAAAATAAGTAATGTAGATAATAGCTTCGATATTAGCGACCTAATTAAATATTAATAAAGAAATCGAAATAGAAATTATATAGGGTATTTATACGATTAGAGAGAGTTTCGAAATTAATTATAATACTGCGAATAGTAGTAATACCCTCCTTAATAAAATTAATATAATCCGCTACGTCGTTAATATAATCCTCAATAATTAAAATAAAGCTATCGATTTTACTGAGGACGGCTTTAAGGGTTTTATTAATTTTATTGGCGGAAATATATAGTAAAGTAATATTATAACGAATAGTAATAAAGTCCGAAATATTACCGGAGGTAGCGCTATTATTATTTATCTTCTTCTTTTTAAGAAAGGAGTAAATATCGGAAGATAAGATTATAACGGAGGCGTTATTATTATTACTAAATTTATTATTATTA